ACCCTTTGTACGAACAAAAGTAAGAGAAATTTAGGAGAAGAATACGAACATGTTCTTGCATGAGGCCCATTCTTCTTTACAAAACATCTCTAGTTCATTCAGCTTTGATGGTTTCCAACCACAGACAGCTCTCTTTAAGTGACACCACAGATTTTCAATAATATTCAGGTCTGGGGACTGAGATGACCATTCCAGAACGTTGTACTTGTTCCTCTGCATGAAGGCCTTAGTAGTTTTTGAGTCCTCCCACTTAAAACTCTGCATTTTCCAACCATTTGAAGAGCATTTTACAAAATCTTGGGGATTAATAAAGTGACCTAAAACAATATTTAAAACATTGAAAACAAATATTAACCTGAACCTTATCTGAGATCATAATTGAAACTTTCATTATCCTTATTGTGTTTTCTATTTACACACTGAGCACCAGTAGTCTTGACTGCATCTTGTAATACTTTTATCTCAAAATATGCTCTGCACCATATGACCTCATGTCATAACAAAGCAGCTGAGAAACCCATGGAACACGTTACTTTCATAAACCTGAATAACCAGTGATTATTCTACAAACTAAACGAACTACAGTATACTCATATAAAAAGCTATAAAATGTTTATTTGTGGCGCCCCCTAGATGAACAGCACCCTTAGCATTTGCCTATACTGCCTACACAGGCTGGCCCTGCCCGTGAGTTCTGTTTAGTGAAGTTTGCTGCCTTGTCAGCATTTTGTTTGATTTTGGTGAATTAAAGGAAGGTATTTTTGAAAAGCCTGAGCCAGAGGTTTTCTGTCTGCAGTTCACAACTACCTGTAAGGATGACAGTTTGTCGTCTTGTTGTTTCACTTACAGCTGCTCTCTTCTGCAGGGGTCACCAAAGCTTGTGAACTTGCACATAACTTTCTCAATTATTTACACCACGGGATGTCCTTCCTGACGCAACTTGGACTCTAACATGTAGGCTCAGATCAATAAGACCATGACAAGCTACCACAGCCTTTTTTTCATCCTCTGACATGTGCTTTTCTATAATATTTTCTCTGAGTTGAATTATTCATTGAATCATTGAATATGGTGGGGCGAATACTTAATTCTGACATAATTTAACTGGCATTATTTTGTAGAATGATAAATAGCTTGAACTTATGTGGCACTTTATCAAGTCCCTGTGGACTCTAAAGTGTTTTACACCTCATCCGCACACTGATGGTGGTAGCCTCATTACCCTGGGGAACACTGACAGAGGCTGGGCTGCCATGYACAGTTGCCACCAGACCCTCTGACCACCAGYAGGCAAGGYGGGTGAAGTGCCTTGCCCAAGAACACAGGATAAGATGCATTTGATGGCATTCTTACAAAACCATTAAGTAAWAAATAAAAGAGTTGCATCCATTTGAACTACACTAAAACTTGTGTTGGGATTTTTAGGGTATTATTGGATATATCATATTATAAGGTGAGAGTTGCTTCATGCCATACTGTATGTAGTGTCGGTGGAAACACTTGTGCAGGTGCAGAGTTTTTATTATAAGAAGTTAAACTGTCACTGTATTTAGTTTGTGTGGATAATTTTCTGCAGATATCTAAACTGTATTTATGMAACCATTTTTAGTTTCTAAATGTAATTGGTAGAATTCTTGCCCAGTTTCACTTCCAGAGCCAAACTAAAATAAAAACTTTGTTTCTGTCATCTATTTATCTCTTGTTTAACTCTTTTTATAACTAACATTCTTCAGCTGCCAAATGCTCGACCTCAACTGAAAAATCATTTATGGTGAGTTTATCACAGGRGTAACACTAAAAACTAAAACTGTACTCCAAACAGATTGGATATTTAGCTAAAAACATCAAGCTTTTGCAGGATTATTGTCTGTCTCTAAAAACACACCAGTTGAAAGACAATTTTCTCTGATTTTTAACAACCAGGGTTTCAGTTCACAGATCTGACATCAACATATATCTGCTATAGATGGATTTCATTATATAAGCAGCCAAAGTTAGACTTAAGGGCTACAAAGTGTTTTAAAAATGTGACCTGGTGAAAACAAATAAATCACATGATGTGCTCACAAGTTTTATAATTAAATTACAAGGACAACTTCGGTAATTTAGATGTATTTTATATAAAATCTACCTAAACAATTCAATTCAATTCAATTCAATTCAATTCAATTCAATTCAATTCAATTCAATTATTTTTTCTCCTTTCCAGGAACATTGATTAGTTGACAAACAGTATGTTGAGGTGTGATTTCTTGCAGCTCTTTATTCCTGTGTGTCACTCAGTACATCATAGGCTTCTCGCTTGTCTGTTTTCTTTGTGGAAAGTTAAATTCTTGCCTGTTTTACCTGTTCAGCTGTTAAGATTGATCACATCATTAAAAATAAAGAAACAAACTAAAAAAAAAACTGAATGTTTGGAGTAAAACTGGCAATGATCTCACTGGAAAAGATACCTTGTATGGTTTTACCTTGTGTGTACCTTGTTCAGGGAAGGGCAACTTAAATGTAAAAAGGGCCACAATTCTTTGTTGACACTACCARAGGAACACATTGTGCCGCACACTTGCCTAAATGTAATAAAACTGTCAYTTTAAAAATGTTATAAATGTTAAACCGAAGTGAAGTGCATTAACTTAACCTATTTCATGCCCAGATGCATGCATAACAATTGTTTAATAAATACGGATACAAAACCCTTTAAACAAACAAAAAATAAACACTTMATTTAGTGAGATGAAGTGCAATGACAAAAGACACCTTGAGTGTAGACTCCTGTGTTGTTGTGTTTTGGTAAATGTTGTTGTG